TATCAGCAAAACTGCAGCAGAGAACCTTTTAGGACATAAAAGCCAATATTAATGTTTTTATGGCTATAACAATGACAATTCAAATCTCCAGGAAGCAAATTCATAATACCATAAAGATGAAGTTTAGTAGGATGTACTAAGGCGAACAACCTCTCGGAAACATGGGTGGCTTTAAGATATGAAAAACTATTACTTGCCTGCTGATTTGAGTGAGCTTCAAATCTAGGTGCCTTTGGCCTTAGTTTCTCCGCTTGATCATACAAATTATAATGGAGGTAATTTCGAAGAAGCAGATTGAGAAGTATCTCCTACATGAGAACAATATCGAAGTATAAGACCCCTATCATCACATAGATACATTGCTCCAATATTTGAAATTTTACCTGACCCGGCCCATCATGGCGTACTGTTGCGATCCGGTGCAGGGCTAAAGTTTCTGTCAATAAAAGATCATCTGATCAGACCTAAAATATCATACTCTAGTGTATTGTACTTCTGGTCTTGTATACAAACACATAACTGATATAAAAGTTAGCTTAAAGAATAGCATAACTCACCCTCTAATTTCAGCAAGATCACCAGTGAGTTCATAGCAAAGAGAGTAATAGAAATAGAGCCTAGCTGCTAGAACATCAACAGGACTCTTGTTCACATTCTTCATACAGGCAACGCCGGCAGCAGAACAAGCTTTCGCCTGAAACGAGCTAATTGTTACATAAAAGGAAGAGGTAACATCACAAGAGACTACTTGCAAATACATACCTCATTGTATTTCTTTTGATCAATCAGAAATATCAGGACAACCAAGTAACAGTAGATTTCTAGCTCCGGCAGGGAATGCTTAGCCGGAGCTTGGGCCGCAGAGGTTGCAGTGTCAACTTCCATCTCATGTTCATCTTCCTACAAACAACATCCAGTAATTGAATTCTAAAAGAAAATAATAATGATCTAAAAATATGCAGAACTTACTTAATCATGAACATTTTATAATACTTGTAGCTAGCCACAGCAATGGATAATGCGAGATTCGGATATTTGCTGATTCATATCATATAGGGCTGTAAAAAGCTGACCCGACCTGTAAAACTGACTGAAACCGACTCGTGTCAAAACTGTTTTTGACTTGCGTTGTGGCGATCCGAAACCGACTCGAGTCGGAACTGGTGTTGACCTGAACCCGAGTTGGACCTGGAAATTGTGGATCCAAACCCGACCTACATCCGACCTGAGAACGACCTGAACCCGAACTGCATCCGACTGATATGAACCCAAACCCGAGATTGAACTGGTAAATAACTGGTATTACCCGACCTGTTTTCAAATTGAACTGGTAAATAACTGGTATTACCCGACCTGTTTTCAACCTGACCTGTTTTCAACCTTACCTGTTTTTAACCTGATCTGTTTTTAACCTGACCTGTAAATAATCCGACTTGTTAATGACCTGATCTGATATTTACCTGACTTATATATTACCATGGACGAAATTGTAAGATTTTAATAAAATTATGAGTTTTTTAGTTTATGATGTAATTAAAAAATTAATATGATTACTTTTTAAATGTTATAATTAAATATTTATTATGATAATTAAATTAATAAATAGACCTATTATATAAAATTATTTAATAAAATTAATAAAATTATTTAAATGTAAATTAGATAAAACATGATTAATAACGCAAATTAATAATGCAAAGGAAATTAATATAGTTTAATTTATATAAATTATATAGTTTAATTTATATAAAGAAAAAATAATATTAATAATGAAAGTATTTATTATGCAATATATATTAAAGTTTTACATTATTAATATACATAATTTTGGCAATACATTAGTTTACATAGACCCAATAATAAGCCCACTCTTTTATTACAAATATATATGCATTAGTGTTAGTTCATTTATATTAGGGTTTATGGTTTAGTGTTTATGATTTAAAGTTTAAGGTTTAAGGATTATGATCTAGGGTTTAAGGTTTAAGGTTTTTATAAATTATATATTTTATTACTTTATATATTTTTATGCATAGTTTTTCTATAAATATATAAGGAATTTACTTTATATATATATATATATATATATATATATATATATATATATATATATATATATATATATATATATATATATATATATATATAGTATATATACTATATATGGTTCATAAATAGTAGTACATGTCATATTAATTTCATTTGCATAATTAGTATTTTAGTTGTATGTTAGGTTAATTCACATTAATAGCCCATTTATTTTGTTGTTATGAATAAGTAATAATAAAATCAAAAAATAAGTCCATTTTCAATAGTGCTAGTCCATTTACATTAGTTTACACAAGCACAATACATAAGCCCATTCTTCTATTACAAATATATATGCATTAGTGATAGTCCATTTATATTAGGGTTTATGGTTTAGGGGTTAGTGTTTATGGTTTAAGGTTTAGAGTTTATGATTTAGGGTTTAGGTTTCTATAAACTATATATTTTATTACTTTATATTGTTTATGCATAGTGTTTCTATAAACTATATAAGTAATTTACTTTATATAGTGTTTATATATATATATATATATATATATATATATAGGTTTTATATATATATAGTTTATATATACTATACATGGTTTATACATACATGTACTATAAGTTACATATATAGTTCAAGGTTTAGAGTTTAGGTTGAAGGTTGAAGGTTAATGGTTCTCGAATTAGTGTTTTTATAAACTATATATTTTATTACTTTATATAGTTAATGTTTAGTGTTTCTATATATATATATATATATATATATATATATATATATATATATATATATATATATATAATATAGATTACTTATATTAGTTATACATACATATATATACTATATTAATATAAATTATAAATTATAATTTATAAACTATATATTTTATATAGTTCATACATACATACTTGCATGCTATATATAATATAGATTACTTATATTAGTTATACATACATATATATACTATATTAATATAAATTATAATTTATAAACTATATATTTTATATAGTTCATACATACATACTTGCATACTATATATAATATAGATTACTTATATTAGTTATACATACATATATATACTATATTAATATAAATTATAATTTATAAACTATATATTTTATATAGTTCATACATACATACTTGCATGCACATACATACATACATACATACATACATACATACATACATGCATGCATACATGCATACATACATACATAGATGCATGCATACATGCATGTATGCATACATACATGCATGCACATACATACATACATGCATACATGCATGTATGCATACATACATGCATGCACATACATACATACATGCATACATGCATGTATGCATACATACATGCATGCACATACATACATACATGCATACATACATACATGCATACATACATGCATGCATGCACATACATACATACATACATACATACATACATACATACATACATACATACATACATACATACATACATACATACATACATACATACATACATACATACATACATACATACATACATACATACATACATATATACATACATACATGCATACATGCATACATACATGCATACATGCATACATGCATACATGCATATACATACATACATACATACATACATACATACATACATACATACATACATACATACATGCATACATACATACATACATACATACATACATACATACATACATACATACATACATACATACATACATACATACATACATACATACATACATACATACATACATACATGCATATACATACATGCATACATACATACATACATGCATACATACATACATACATACATACATGCATACATACATGCATGCATGCACATACATACATACATACATACATACATACATACATACATACATACATGCATACATACATGCATACATGCATACATACATGCATACATACATCCAAAAATAAAAACAACCCGACCTGAACTCAATTCGTATTCGGTAAACATCTGACCTGAATTTTATCTGTCAATGATGTGACCCGATCTGAACGAGATCCGACTGAAGTCTACCCGAACCTGAATTAACATGGTCTTTATCTGCTTCGGACCTGAACTGTTTTGACCTGAACTGATATCGATCCGAACTGAAAATGACCTGACCTAAACTCGATCTGGATCTGATGTCAAATCAACCTGAAAATAACCCAAACTGATTTAACATGACCTGAACCCGATCTGGATCTGGTGTCAAATCAACCTGAGTTCTTGTACCCGATTTTACCCGACCTGCCAAGATCCGACTGAAACCTGTCCGATTACCTGATTTTACAGCCTTAATATCATATTTAGATTCAAATATTTTAATTACCATACGTAACCGAATAGGAGTGGATGCAGATATTAACCCTTGAATATCCATTATCTAAATCTGCTTTAGTTCTGCGTATAACAAATTCGGACATTTAAATCCATTATCCACTTGATTTTTATTCATTCAGGTTCAAATTTAATGCATATAATAAATAGATTCGAATTTTGAAGAACGCATACAAATTTAAATTTAATATATATATAAACTAAACTGCATGTGAAAAACTGAATACTTGGACATCACATTATATAAAAACATACTTTAGGAAGATGAAAGAATTGTTTTAATTCTGCATTTAAAATGCTGAAGTTATCAACAAATGATTGGAAGTTGATCATTCAAGTTTTGAATTATTATTATTTTGATCACATAGTTATTATCCCACCAATTTTATGCTAAATCCACTTCTCCTAAATAAATTTTAACCAACTAAAATTTTCCAACCATCGCAACAGCTAAAATGATTGACAACAGTTGAAGCTTAGAATTTTCAAATCACTATATCATAATTAACATTATTAAAATACAAATGACACATCAAATTGTTTGTCTCCTCGTATATTTATTACGAAACATTTTCATCCAAATACAATGGTGTGAGGAGAAGCATGCTGATACAATAAAACATCAATCACTCTAAATAATAATAACAATAAACTAGGATTTTCTAATCGACTTGAGGCAATACAAACAATTGTACATCTACAGACCTAAAGTTTGATTAAGGCTTTCCATTTGGATTACTAAATATTCCCAACTTGTCTTGTCCACCCTTATTGTTGCCAGGCTTCCGGTTACTATCAGATTTCGGATTAGCAGCATTTCCTCCCATGCCACGATTTCTTACATGTGCATACCTGTTTCCCTCGTTGCTCACGGTTGCATCCGCTGATGTACCCTGCTTGCCAGATGAATTTTTGTTTGGACTGCTGAATATCCCAAAGCTCGTAGGAGACTTCGAAGCTTCATTCCCGACTTGCTTAGACCTGTCTGCCTGTCTTATATTCTGGCCAATGTTTTGTGGTGGTTGTCGCGGTGCGTATCGGAACTGCAGTTCTGACCTGACTGACTCTCTTGTACTCTGGCTCATATTAGGCGGTTCCCGTCGCGGAGACGGGAACTGAGGCTCTGACCTAACTGGGTTAGCAGGTGGGAACTGATTACTCGGTTCACTTCTTTTATATCTGTTGTCAACTTTTTCATCCTGCATTTGCATAGGTGAAGACATAGGCAGGTCATCTTTGTCTGAAAATGGTGTATCTTCAGACTCTGATCCAGATTCCATAGATTCATCCACGGACATTTGGTTATCAGTAGCTGATTCAGAAGAAGTTTCAGCTGTATCACCATCAGCAACCTTTGATTTTTTTCCACCACCTTTCTTCGTCAAGCCGAATTTGGCATGCCTGACTATCACATGCGCATTTGTTTTCTCCACCTTTAGCTCAGTTTCCACGACACACACACCTTCAATCTGACAAATCAATAATAAAAGGTTGGGAAATAAGTGGTGGGGATTCAAGAGAATCAAAAGTACATACGAAACACTAGGGGGGAAACAAGTATAGGAACACGAGATACCAATTTAGTGAGACGAGACAATATTCTTCCCAAGTCCTCGCCTTCGCCATCCTTACCCTTGCCCATGGCCATACACTATTGGCAAACAAGAGACAACACTAGTTAATATTCATTAGGATTCAAAACCATAACAGCACCATCAAAACATATATTACTGTGCTTAAACCATTAGTCCTTTATAAAGAGTAGAATTACCTTTACTCGGTAACCACGCTCCGCTAATCGTATGACATTTTCTGCCTTCAACTTTAGGTCTTTTTCTTCCTGCAGAAGCATAAGAATTTTGTCATGGTTCCCATCTATATATGTTCAAGATTTTGGTTGAAGATTCATAAAACCAGCTTAAATTTTTGTATCGACAGTTAAGCAGTTCGGGAAAGCCAATGGGTAAATACTGACTATGTAAAATTTTTAATCAAATGCTACAGCCAACAGTCACTATGCTGTTCAGTCTTAAAACATGTTTTTGTTTCTAATATCATCGGCACTATTGTTGACTGATGTTTAGCAGCACGGTCTCAGGGTGTATAAAAATGTTGAATGAACATTAAGAAAAAAAAGTGATAAAATTTCTTATAGAAGGAACTTACTATTTTGCCCTTGAATCGAATGTCACACACTCCTTTCTTTAATGTATCCCCCGACTACGAAATATAAAATTATTAAGAAAAAAAAGTATAACTAAAACATTGTATGAAAATAGGCAGTTTCATGCATAGACAAACAAAGACAAAACTAGTCAGCGTGAAATATGATTGTTGATTCATATCAGAAGAAAAAAATGTGATAATGATGGTCATTCAATGCATTGAATATGATCATGACACCTTCTGAAAGTACTGCATAATTAACGTATATGCTAGAAAAGCCAATGCAAATTGTTCATTAGAAGACCATGGGCCTACTTAGTTGCTCAGCTGAATACCTTAGTTCTTACCAAGAAGTAAAAAAACATTGCATGGTAACAGTGTGAACTGCTTTTTAGCAAAGAAATTTCAGAATCTACAAAAAACTACAGGTGCAAAGTTTGTGTTGCTGTTGCTCTTATTTCAGGAAAAAATGACAATCAAGTAAGACACGAGAATTTAGAGTAGAAAATATTTGCGTCCTACTGCTGAATGTTTGCTAATTCATCTTGAGCCAAATGAACTTAAATCATGCAACTTACCTTGCTTTTAGCAACTTCCTTTTCTTTTTGACGTCGTTGGTACATTTCCTTGTTATAGTCCATCAGTCTACAAACCGATGGGTCAACCTTTTTTTGAACCTATGTGAATCATAGAACTTCTATTAGATCCCAAATGAAACAAACTGGAGAACAAGGTTATTCTTTGGGATAAAAAGTGGAGTTCATCAAAGACAAGCTCTAACATGATATAATGAAATGAAAAGAAATGGAGAGAATGTTCTTCGGTACCAAACAGAAAAAAAAAACCATAAAAGTAATGCATTTTTTACCTCAACTAAATCCACACCCTGCTTCCTTGCTTGTTGCAATGCTTCTTCAATCGAGACAACAGCATGCTGACCTGCGATTTCATAAATCATAATCTGATCTAAAATAGCAAATGACTACCATAACCATTTTAAACAATTCAATTCAGTCTTCCATTCTTATACCTAGTGCTCACTTCGAATAGTCAATTGAAAATTTCTAATTTGAAAGCCTATCCTATTCACAAGTTCACATCGCTATAAACGTAATACAGGAATATAAGAAAAGACCCTTCATTTTAGTCAATAATATGAAACACTGTGTCAGCGTCCACGTACCATCCTCCATCACCAATCTAACAACACTAGCAGTGATTTGCTTATTTAAACGCGGCTTTTCCTTGTCTTTCTGCTCGACCTTCTTATTCTTAGTAGCCTGAAATAATCAAACACATCAAATGAACCCTCTACATTAAAAAGAAAAAAGAACTATTCCATTACCAAATGGAAAATATCATAATAAAAATACCCTACCAAGTTTGGAAAACAAATAAAGAAAGATTAACTGCACCAGACGTCCCCAATGGCCCAAATTATGAGCCAAATTCTAAATCAATTCAATCATAAACTTCAAAAATGTTTTCACCATTGGTGTTAATTAACAGCTTAGACCTGATTCGATTCCTGACATATACAAGCTGACATTAATGCTTTGCTTGATATGATGGAAAATTTGCTAATCAAATGGTTAAGATTCATAACCTTAAAACTTAGCCATTAGATTAAAGAATTCCCATCCTTCATACCAAGCAGAGCCTAAGAGAAAAAACTGAATCTGACGACTAGACCTGTTGAGAACAAACCTCTCAGGACTAACTTAGAATTCAACACATGGTTTAGGGACGTCTAGTGCTATTAACCCAATAAACTATTCATCAACGAAAACAACATAACCAGATTCAAAAGGGAAAAAAGGCACTAAATTAACAAAAAGCTAATACAATATTGCAAAGTTACCTGAACCGGTGCAGCAAAAGACCTGACATTAATGTAAAAATAAGAGGGCTTATTCTCGATACTGCAAAAGGGTTTCTCTAAGGCAGAGATCATCGTTTGGTTAACAGAGGATGCATGAGGAGGTTGAAAGTGAAATCTCCTGTATTGATTTAATATAAGTTGAAGTTTAGATTGATTGATTCTACGCCAAAATACCATGTTGTTTTCTTCTTAGTTTAATTTACCAAATACAGTTGCATTCTTCGGAGCAAAGCTGAGGGTTTCCGATAAAGCAAGCAAGGAAACAAAAACCCTAGTTGCGAGAAATAAAAGATAGATCTGTCTGGTTTTTCCAACACGATGCTTTCTGCTAAAAGAATGAATAGCTTCTAAGCCCAAATCAAGCATTGGGCTTGAATTTTGGACATGGTGGCTGCAGTTTCTGGGTTTTTTATTATTATTTTCTCGGCTTTTTTATAGATTTTTCTCCAATACGGCACCAAGAATAAAAAATTAGGGAATTAGGATACTCAGATTTTTAATTTGGGATCTACACCATTTGTTACAGTGTGACGAGTTCCATGTGATAATGATTTTATATTCCGTCTTTCTTATTTTATTATTTTTTGAGAAACTCGTCACCTTGCGTCATCTCGAGGTGACGAGTTCCTTTGGATTTGAGTATATAGTCGTTTAGAAGTATTTAAAAATAGATTTTGATATATGTTGGAACTCGTCCTGTGAGCGTGACGAGTTTCAACAGTCATTTTGAGAAAATTTTCTCTATATATAGGAGTGAGTTAGTTGATAGAGTTATATGAGAATCAAATCATGCATTTACGGGAAGAATATATGAGAAAATTTTTGAAATATCATTTTGGATCTGATATTGATGATTCGAATTCAAGCTCGTCTTCAGATGAGGAGTGGATAAAAGAGTCAATAAAGTCGATTCTTGATCAACATAAGAAGATGAAAAGGGGGGAGGAGGAGAAGAATGAATAAAGACTTAGGAAACCGATGCAACAAATAAATTATCGAGAGAAAGAAGAAGAGGAAAAGTTGTTTATTTTGTTGAAAATGTTTTAAATATATGTATGAATTTGAGTTTAGTTAAATGTTATAGTTTGTAATTTTATTAAAGATGGTTATTGATATTGATAAATTATCCAAAAGAGGTACAACAAACAATATTTGAAGCAATATAAATACGAAGGTTTATCTGCCCAGTCGATATTTTGTAAGATGTAGACAATGCTTCCTATTGTGGCTTTCACCTCTATAGTGGCCACAAATCTTTGGCAGACCTTATTCTCATTGTGGATTATCCATATCAGTATGAATTCGACTAGATTCAGGATGGCCCTTTAACTTCCTTCGCAAATGTGGATTGGGAAACCATTCTTCAAAAATAGTTGGTGCCCAATATGTAGCGTTTAGGAGATATTTAAATTCACAACTACATATGTTGTGCATAGTATGCAAGCTATAACAATCATCGACGTATTAGTATGGGTCTACATTCACATGAATACATACAGCAACCGTGTGAGCGCATGGGTATCTGAAGGCTTGAAATTGACCACAATCACATTATATTCTATTCATATTACCAGTGTAGGTGGAAGATTTACCACCCTTTTGTGGTTGAACAAGTGCTTGGAATCTTAGGATGTACCCCGTTGATCCTTCATTCGATATACCCGAGTAGGTTCCGCATATCTCCTGCATATCATGAATCTTAGGATTCTTCATGGCATAATAGATTATATCATGCATTGTAACTGGATGATGATAGTGAAGCATTTGGGTTGCGGTATTTCGGGTTGATTGGGTGTTAGTCGATGTGTCCAACCTCACTGAGCATTTGTGTAACATCCTCAATATCGGGTTAGTGACTAAATTGTAAAGTTTCAAAATTTTGTGATGAAAGTAGAATAATTAAATAGTTCAAGGACTTATATGAGAAATGTTGTGCAGGATTAAATTATAAAGAAGGAGGAATTCAAGGACAAAATGATCATTTGCAAGTAAATAATTAAGTTTGGTTATATATTAACCACGTAGAAGTGAATGAAGCAAAAACAAGCTTCCATAGTTCTCTTCCTCTTCTTTATCCCTCTTCATACGTGAGAGACCAAACAAAGGTGAGTTTTCTGGTTAGTAAATTTCTTGTTGAATTTAAGGTTGGTTTATGATCATTAGACGATAACTAAGTGTAAGGAAAGCTTAAGTTATCTTAAAATCAAAAGATGATGGAATTAGGAGGGATTAAAGATTAGGAGTTCTTGAATAAAATCTTGAAATAGAGTTCATAATTAGAATTGGAAGTTGGATTTGACTTGTCATCAACCTAATTAAGGAATATGAAGTATTAGAATTGGATTTAAAATATGTAGAAATTTGAGTATAATTCTTGAATGCTATGTGGAGGATTGAATTTTGACGTTAAAGAGGTATTTAGTTAGTATTAATTAGTTTAAGTAGGTGTATATAAGTTAAGGATATGAAAGGAGCTGAGATAATAGACAATTGAGCTAGAATGAAGTGATTTTCATGCTCAAAAATGTAATTTCTGGGCAGGATGTATCGGTACACATTCATCAGGCACCGATACATCAAGGGTAAAATGCATAAAATATTCAACGTGTACCGATACATAAGAAGTATATCGATACACCCCTTGTAATGAAAAACATCGAATGTAATTTGTGTATCGATACATAGATAGTGTATCGATACATACATTAAGGGATGTACCGATACACTATAGAGTATACTGATACATACCTTAAATAAAAGATGAAAGTAGCCTTTATTTTAGTTTAAGAATTGGAAGATTATAATATACCAATTATTATACTGATATGTATCAATATATTATTATGTAGATATAGAATATAATTCCGTTTCGGAGCAATCAAAGAATTAGGATCAAGTCAAAGCAAGCAAGGCTAAGGTGTGTGCATATCCTAGATAGAGTGTATAGAGATAAGACTTGCGATAAGTCTATCTCTTATATTTGAATTCATGATTTTATATCCATGTACATACATTTATATATTAATGTTATAATGATTTCATGCATAATTCATTTATGCTTTAATATAATATGATATGAATGAACACAATGATAAGAGAATCAATCCAGGTATGCGAAATAATGGAAGTGATCATATGTTTGCTTGTGAAGTGAATTTATGTTTATATGAAAAGTGATAAAAAGAGAGACATGAAAATGAGAATGTATTCATAATTAAGCCCATGTTCTTTAATATGAGAGTTGTAGGTATAATTGGCATGCCAAGAGTCGAGAGATTAACAGTGGTCCTTTGAGACATAGTGGTCCTTCGGGATATAGTGGTCTTTCGGGACAAATATTCAATGCCCTTAGTGGGAATTATTCGAGTTGTGGTGACAACGTTATGCACAACCTCAGTGTACTCACGTACCTTCTGTTCTAAATAATGCACATGAACATCCAAAGATAAATTGAATGAAAACTATTATTAAGAAATAAATGTTCATTTGTGCATATCATATTTATATATGTCATAATATAGTATATACATGTACATTGCAATGTCATAATGGATTGATAGTAATACATGTTTATGAATTTATTGTTATATATTCATTTTATGCCTCACTAAGTCTGTGACTTAGCGTGTAAGTGATTTTACGTTGGTACCCAGAAACAAGAAGAGCAGAAATAGGAGTGGCAAGGACAACATCACTACTAGAAAATCATATCAGAAGTAATTGACAAAGTATGTCTTTTGTTGTATATAGAGTGTTGGCATGTAACAAGTTGTTAGTTACGAATGCTCTGATCAATTTTGTATTATTTTGGTCAACTTATATAAGTTAACAGCTTTTATTTTAAAGAAAGTTTAAAATTTCCTTGATTTTCTTAAGAGTCAAAGTTTGAAAAGTCAATGTGACATCTCAGACTCGTATATGGATAGGGTAAGGGTTAGGGGTGTTACATTTAATGGTATCAGAGCTACGATTTAGTTAATTCTCGGCATAAACCAGACTCTAGAGTGTCTTATAATGTATATATGCCAACAAAATAGTGAGAACTTCTGATATGATAAAATATTAAGTATGTTGTTTTGCTAATAGAATGATATGGTTGTGTTTTAATAGATGTCCAGAATTGATAGTTCTAGAAGTGAAGTGGGAGACGATAGGCCCACTAAAAGCAGTAATTCACATGCCCTGGCCAGGCAGAGTGAAGAACAGGCCCCCTCTGGAGTGTCTGTGAGTGATCAAGATGTGTTTTTTAGGACGTTAGATGCGGTATTGGCGCGTTTTCATCCTCCTACTACTTCAACTCCAAGAATGAATGTTGGAAAATAGTTGAAGGGTTTAAGAGCTCCAGGGTTTAGAGGTGAAGCCGAAGAAGGTTCTGTTGCTGCGGACCTTTGCCTTAACGACATGAAAATTATGCTTGAGGGACTTAATTGTTCTGATGCTGAGAAGCTCGATGGAGTGGTTTCATTGCTGAGAGGGCAAGCAAGGATTATGTGGAATAACGTTATATTACGAATGTCTGCTGATCAAGTAACTTGGTCTTATTCTTAGAGGAATTCAAGCATAATTACATAGGAGATCAGGAGATCAATTCATCCGATAGATGAAGCAAGAGTTTATAAATTTGAGGCAATGGAATCGTACCGTGTATGAATACGAGTGTGAATTCAATAAGTTGAGCCGCTTCGCTTCCGAACTAATTCCAACAGAGAATGATGCTTGTGACTGGTTCGTGGAAAGACCGCGTCCAAGACTGAAAGAAATGCTGATATTGTTGAATCTATCCTTATTTCAAGTGGTAGTAAACCGTGTCAAATCTCTTGAAAGAGCTCATAATGAGAGGTTTGGAGATCCCAGAGCTCAGAAATTGAAAATAGCGGGTGCGACATCTAGTGCTGCACCATAAAAAAGGCGTAGAGATGTTGGTTCTCGACCTCAAGTTAGATCAGAGTCAGTGGCATCCTCTGCTAGAGGATCAAATTCGATGAGGGGTAGACCAACTCAGTCAGTGGGATCTAGAGTTGGGAGATCTAACCAGAGGCAAGTCAAACAATACTCACATGGTATTTTGTTAGAAATCATTCAGGGATATGTCAAATGATTTATGGAGCCTGTTTTAAATGTGGGGACACAGGGTATTTTGTTCGAGATTATCCAATGATATTTGGTGAATTTGCGCAGCCAGAGAGGTTTGCTTCTGCTACTCAGAGGGGAAGAGATAGAGGCAGAGGAAGAAGTCAGCTATAGTCCTCTGCTCAATAGGAGA